ATGGATTTATGATATAAATTTTCACCAAAAGTGCTGGATTCTGGTCCTAAACATCCTTATAGAAAAGTATTATTATGAAAATTAACTTTTCATAAGTTTTTTTAAATCGTCTTGAAGAGTGTATATACTAGCTTCTACTAGCCGGCATTAAATATCCTGTTTACGATAAATATTACTAACTCGAAATGATCTCTGGTTCACTAGCCATGCGCCATTATACACTTAACCTGATACTTATTATTCACTATCGTTTTAGCCTTATCCCTCATTAAATTCCTTTTATAACCTCGTATTCATCAAGAAATTAATTTTTAGTATACAAAAATAGACACTATCAAAGCCCCCATCAAATTTGGCAGACTCAGTGTCATGTTCTCTTGCACTCCTTCACAGATGCCTTCTGCAAAATGTCTAGCCAGACTTCCTTTGCAACTTCTGGAACTCCGGGGACTGGCCCAAGACGACGACGTCCCACAACTTTGGCTCTCCACATACCCCGACAGGTAGGCATGTCTGATTGCCCTGGCCAATTACAGATTCCAGGGACTGGTGGTGCTGCCGTGGTCATCTCCGGCCAAGGAAACTGTCGCCAGGGTGAGATCTGTATTGACTTAAGCCTTAATTTGTTCACGTTTGTGAATTGAATCTTTTCTTCGACTTCTCTTTTATTCTCAGTCCTTCGCCGAATCGCAAGAGGCTTCATAACACTCCTTTTTAAACCTCCCTTGAAACGATCATGCTTTCTGGAAATGCGACTATGGGCTTCTGCTCTGGAATTTTTCATCTACTTTTTGAATTAAACTGCTTTTTGATAGCTTGTAAGCACCGTTTTTATATTATGCTCTGAGCCCCCCTTACACCTTCAGCCATATAGCTCTACAACTCCAACATGGATAAGCTATTGCAACTCTTATTGCTCTTTGCACATTTACGGATGAATTAGCATATTATTACATCCCTTTCACCTTAAACGATATTGTGTTGTCTTCTTTTTTCACAGTAGGAATTTTCAGCTAAACTTTTATCACTGTGGCTTTGGCTATACGATTTTAGTCTGGAGGACACTTTTGTGAATAGGCATGATAGTAGAGAAGTCTGTTTAGACTGCAAGAATGGTATTTACTAAGTGATATGTAATTCCAATTTTCACAGTAGGTTTGCCTTTATACATAGACATATTGATTTATTTATCCTTTCCGATACATCAACATATGCCCATATAACTGTTGACCTACATGCTTTAATTCTAAAACCTAATTTCCTGTTCTTTTTTTCGCCAGGGACCTTTTAATAATTGCCTTTCATTTTCTGCTACTTTTGGTAATCACTCTAAACCGACCATGCCTATGGGTATGTAGATTGCTGGATAAAGCCATAACTTAAGCTTACAGCACAGCTTTTTTTCTCGCTTACTCTTTTTACTCTATTTATCTCGTTAAATCCTTACAATTTTTCGTTTCATAAATGGCGAACTTGGCTAGACTTTATATTGAATTTCGCAAAACCTTGCTTCCCATAATGTACTCATACAGGATGGATTGCAGTTTCGAAATTGCCATACTCTCATTAGGACCTTTTACACAATTTGAATCCGGATTGTGGTAATTCAGCATATAGTCTCAATACGTCAACCACTACGCCACTCCTACGAGTGGCCCTTGGTCACAGTGCAGAATTAGATTTCAATGAAGCCTAGGCATTTCCAATACCACATTTCTGTGGTGGTAGTGCTGACTAAGTAAATTTGTATTTGCTTATATTAGGCCACAAGTTATTTTTATGGAAAGATTCTGTACATATACATCGTGTATATATATACATACATATATATTTATATTTATATGGATGCTGTCTTTCCGGCCTTCGTTGTTCAGACTCAGACAAGCTTGATGTGCCATCCATTGAGGCTACTGCCGCTATACCACTCAGCTCCAGCGCTCCACCAACAGGCCATTCTATGGCTAAATCTGCTCTTGCTGCAGCCGCTGCCATAGGCGTCGGGGCCACTGCGGCCACAGTTGCTACCACTTCACAATGCATTGGCACTCCACTGCCTGCCACCTGCTCTCAACACTTAATAGTTAACTTTGAGGTGAGTCTTTTATGGTTGTCGCGTCTTTTGCATTTGCTTACTTTGAGGACTTATGTTATAAGGCCAGATAATGGAAGAAGCCATGTAAAGTTTCCTGCCTTCTCCTCTTGTCAGAATCGAGATAGTTGTCAATTTATTGTAGATTAGGCTGTAGTCCTGCATTTATCGCTATGTCTCGACTCCTCACTACGTATTTAGGCCTTGGAACAGCTGTTTTTTTTTGCCAAAATCGATCCTTTACTGATTCTTAGCCTAAACTCGTCATCTCGCCTTGACTGTGGGAATTCTGGAAACTTATGCAGTTATGCGAAGTAAACTGTCGGTGATCGAAATTTTAATACTAGTTATTTATGTTTCTGATATAATTGGTATTTCCCATAAGGCTGCAGCGAATTTCATTACATTTATCTATTGACACTTACTCAAAACTTTAAATTGAGTAAATTCAAATTCTTGATGATTTTTTCTTAGCAACTTGTTCATTGTTAGTAAATCTGTCCCAGAATGATACAGCAATTATCAATGAACTGTGCATAAGTAGCTAAAATTTATCTTAATGTAATTGATTGGTTTGCGTCCTAGACTCTTTCATTCGTCACTTTCGTCGTTCATATATATGTAGTTTAAGAAAAGCTGGGCTTCGAAGAACCTTTCGGCGTTTTAACCTGACTCGATTTTTTATTTAGAAGGAAAACTTGGTTGGAGGGAATTCTTGAATTGGTCACG